AGCAGTAGAAGACAGCCCAAGTACTTGAACCCCTCTACTCTTGTAGGAGACCCAGAAGAAGCTCCTGGGGTTCATGGTTTTGGCTTGGAACAGCCTTGGCTGTTGCAATCATTTGGGGAATGAATGAGAGGATGGAAGACCTGTCTCTGTCTGTCTGTCACTCTCTCTCTATAACTCTGCCTTTCAAATAAAAAAAACACATACCATCCAAAATTTCTAAACCATGGTATTTGAAGTATAGGTTGAGCATCCCTAATCCAAAAATCAAAAACCACAAATGCTCCAAAATCCAAAACTTTTTTAGCACCAACATGACATCACAAGTAGAAAATTTTATCCCTGATCTCATGTGACAGGTCAGTCAAAATGCACAAAATTATTAATAGTATAGCATAAAATTATTTTCATTGTATGTATACAAGGTTTATGTGAAATAAATGAACTATGTGTCTAAATTTGAATCCTACTTCCAGATAACTTATTATGTACAAGCAAATATCCCAAAATCCAAAAGACTCCCAAATTCAAATTGCCTCTAGTACGAAGTAACTTGGGTAACACATACACAATCTATATTAACAGCTTCCTTCTGCTATGGACTAAGGTTTGTGTCCTCCCAAAGTTCATATGTCAACACCCTCAATGTGACGGTATTTGGAGATGGGCCTTTTGGAGGTAACCAGGACTATATGAGGTCATGAAGGTGAGACTCTCATAGTGGGGCTAGAAGAGACACCAGAGAGCAAGCGTGCACACTTACGCACTCACATTCTCTCACTTGTTCTCTCTTCTCCCACACTCTCTCCCTCTCCCTTTCCCTTTCTCTCTTGAACACAGCAAAAAAAGGCAATTGTCTATAATCCAGGAGGAGAACTCTCACCAAAACCTAACCAACGCTGGCACCCTGATGTAAAACTTCCAACCCCTAGAACTGTGAGGAAACCAATTACTGTTATTTAAACTACATACAGTAGTTTATTTATTTTTGTTAAGGCAGCCCAAGAGCACTATGATAGCACAAAAAATATGTAAAAAAGTTGTAGACTAACTCAGAATTCCCTGAATTTCCCATATGCCACAGTAATCCACAAAAGTTCTGTTATGTTACTAGTAAGAAAAATAGAAAATCGAGTATAATTAAAATTAGCAATCAGAAAACATATCCACACATGTTCAAGGGATTCCAAAATGCACAGAGTGAAAAATAAAGGGAAATGGAACAAATATTGACTGACTGCACTGGGCAGAAACCTAACAAAAGCAGTCAATACAAAACAAACACTTGGTTTCCCTTTAAAATGAGCAAAGTAAATCTATCTGGGCAAGCAGCTCCAAAAATGGCTCTGAATGTTTAAAGTAATTTGTCACTAGCATTTGTGTTAAGTGTCCAGCTAATGAATTTTACCTCAAGAGAAGACAATGTCTCATCTCAAAACCTTGAGGTGGTCTTGTAAGAAGACCCTCCATTGAAGCCAAATGTCACCAGTTGCTACAGCTCTACTCAGTCCTAGTCTAGTCTATTCCAGTGCTTCCAAACATTCCTTAACTCCCTTGAGTCTTTATGCCCATGCGACTGCACAATCTAAAGTCTATTCACACAGGTGATAAAATATTTGTAATGTCAAAGAGATTGATGTTAGCACCTAAACTCTGTTCTGATAAACTCATCCTTCTGATAGTTCATTCTGAATCCATGGCTGACTTCTTTCCAAACAAGGTATTTCAAGGGCTCTCAAGAAACAAACACACAGAGAAGCCACACCTTACCTCCCAATTACCACTTAAACTGTTTCTATTACTACCAAGTCAATGGCATGTCTCAACAAGTAGTGTTTCTATCACTGGTAAGAAAAATATTAGTATACTATTTCTAGTCATAGATTCCTAAATTGTTATTTTTCAGCCAAAGCAAATAGCAAGCTACTGCATACATACCACATATCTAGGAAAATGGTGAGGGGGATGAAATACAACACTGCAAAGGCTACTGGAAAAGGACAGAGCTGTAAGGCTAATGTTCATGTTTCTCAGGAGAGAATAAACTATAGGAAGCTCTTCGTATAGAACAAAAAGATGTAATCTTGAGGAATTAGGAAGCTATTTCTTATAGGGAGTTAAAATACTTTGGAGGGAAGAAAAAGCATGAATATGACATGACACAAGGCATGGTACACATTTCCTATTGAACTACTGTGAAAGGTTTAAGTACAGAGGAAAAAGCACTCGTCATAAAAACCCAAGCCAAAAGGCTACGTGTATGTATCTCACACAGAAGCATTAATTTGTTTAGAACAAAACACGGACAATTCCTAATATTAAAAAGTAACTGATATTATGGTCTCAAGTGCCAGTACATGTAAACTGTCAAATGTCTTAAAAAGTAGTGAGGTGCAATTCCATGTATTTTTTCCTCTCGTGTCTATGAAGAAAGGAACCTCCTGTATCTGAGAAACTTCCACCTGATAGACTTCTGGCTCTACTAAAGAAGACCTGGCTTTCCTTTGAAGCTCAATTTTGAATCTTCCTAAGGAAAATAAACTCATTAATCGTTCAAAGGTTATTTTAATTCTTGATTCCAGGTAATGCCTCTCTTATTCCCTTTTCTTAAAAAAAAAAAAAAAAAAAAAAACTAACTGGAAGGGAAGAAGCCAGGTAAAACTGCAAAGGGAAAGGAGAAATATGTACAGACTTTATAAACATGATTTACTGTAACTGTGGAAGCCAGGACACAGTTTGAAAATACCAGTATTTCAATAATCTGTTTCAAAAGTTGGCTATTTGAGTTAAATTTGCTCTTTGTGAAGACTCTTTTTAATAGGTACCATTCTGAAATTGTCCCATTCAAATAAGTCTCATGGAAACTTCTGAAAGGTGGAGACAAACTTTTCAAGCAGGAAAATAAAATACTTACGTATTTTTATATTGTATATAATTACACAAGAAAGACTTTCCCAGGTGATGAGGCAATTAAAAATAAACAAACAAAAAATAAAAATTCCAAAAACTTGCTAATACATCTGAATTACACCAAAACTATACTTAGAGGAAAAGTCTTAATTGCTTAAATTCTAAATAATCCAAACTTTACAAAAGAGACATGGGAAGAAGATACCAAGAATTCAAAGCCCATCCATGTTATTTGGAGGAACCTAACCCAAAATTAGAGATCATCACTTTCCTAACACAAACAAGATGAAAACAGAAGATGGGTAATGTGGCCTGTTCTTAATCTATAATGTTAGTTTCTAGCAACCTTAAGCTTCCACATCACAGCCACATTAAAATCCCAGGCTCCCTTTCCCTGCAGTAGATCATGCCATGCAGAGCAGACACAAGAAAGACTGCAGTTATTAAAAAAAAAAAAAGAAACAGCATGAAGCAAGCTCCAAAGGTGCAAGGCTGAATTAGCTACATTAGCTTACCATATATCTCGGATCTACTCTCCTCTGAACTAGACTTTGTCTTCTTGGAGGAGCTGTCTGCACAAGAGCGGGAGAAAAGGAGAGAGATATAGAAAATATGGAGACCAATGTAAGGGGAAAAATTTATGGGGAAAAAAGAATGAATCATGATCAAGTTAAATCGTGCAAACACAAAGTATGACCATCACAGATGATAGCACTTAGAACAGTCACGAACAGCACAGGCAACGACAAATTTTAAAGATTTATCAAAGAAAAGACAGTGCAATAAAAATACATTCAAACAACACATGAATTGTCTACAAAATATACTATCTAATCATTGTAGAGATGACAAAAGCAGGAAAAGCTATAACAATCCCATTATGAAGTACCGGGCAGCCCTTTACAAAATCCATCTTTGGAAATGAACAATAATATAGAATAAACCGAACAAAACTTTAATATTTGAATGAACATGGGGCAGAACAATGATTTACATGATTAGTTATTAGCAAGACAATAAGTAATCATACAAACGAAAGCCTCTAAGCCCCATGACTTCAAAATTAGGTGTCAGAAATAGCGAATTCTTCCTTTATGGTAACACATAAGTTATCTACTATATATTCCCCCACCAATACCTTCTAAAATCACTGGGATTTTATTTTACCTATTACCCAAGATGCAGATAAATACTTAGCTATTCATTTCCGAGTTTTCCCTTTTTTGATGGTAATTAATTTTTTCAAAAAACAGGGCAACTTACAGGAAAGGTAAAAAATACTGTAGATACATAAAACATATTACCCTCTATTAAATATGAAAAATTTTATATTTCTAAAGTTAAAATAATAGATGCATTATATTTATGTATCTCAGATGGAGGCAGTTATTTATCTTTTGTCAGAGACATAACCAAATAAAATAGTATGTACACCAAGAACATATTAATTTCAAATGACAAAAGCAAATTAAGCCATTTTAATAAGCTAAATGTTGAGTTTATAGGAGGGGACAAAATAGAAAAGGCCTATATTTTGTAACAGGAATACAATCTATATGCATAAAATGAAGCATATAATTAGAAGTCCAACAACATGAAAACTCTAAGAAAAATCAACAGTACTAAGGTTGACAGCTCTGAGTTCAGAACACTTAGAAGAGATTTCTATGCATTTGCATTTTATCTAACACTCCAACTGATCATGATCACAACTAAGTTTTTAAATCACCACATAAGTATGTACATGTTCTTAAAGACATGACTTAACAACATACTACTTCTCACAACCTGATTTAGCCCTAAATCCTTGGTCTGACTTACAATGAATTTCCAATTATAATAACTATTGTTATCATTATTTTAAAATAAAATACACTCTATAATGACACTTGTGTAGTGGGATTTGTAATGTCGAAAATTAAAAATGCTTGCACTGCTGCCAGACACAAAGGCTTTCTATTACATAACTGGAGGAGAAGGAGACTCCTAAAACTGACTAAACAACTACTACTCATCAATTCAGGTGGCTGAAGCTATACGTTTCTGAACCCCGCTATTCTCAATACTCTCTGAAAGAACAAACAAGAGTTTACCTGTGGGATCAAAATCATGCGATGTACTGCGTTCAACTTTCTGCTTCTTATCTGTTGGTGACTCTCGGTTCAAAATACTTCCATGCCTAAAGTAAACCAAAGCAATCAAATTTTTACTACAAGAGAATTATTAGGATAAAAGCTTAATTCTAAAATCCCAAGAGTGTGTCTTAAAAAGAGAAGTCAGGACACCTTACACAGTATCATAAGCCTCCCTAATTTACATTTTCCAGGAAGTTTTAAAACTCAATCTATGCTATGTATGATGCACAGTCTACTTACCTCATTTAAAAAATTGCTTAAGATGACAGAAATAGTAACCAGTAATATTTTGTTAGTAATCCTATTTTGTTCTTAGGAATAACTTACTTACATTTTCCCCCACAGGTCAATTATTCCCCATTTAACAAAACAGTGTCCAAAAGGAATCTAACATTCCCCAACTCATATAACTATGGTAAAACTCAAAATCACTGTATAAGCACAGTATTGTGTGAAAACAGCTTAAAAAAACCAACCAACCACCCTTAGGCAAACCTCAATATACACTTGAATACATAGTTTCAGCTACACAGCTCTTAGCAATCACTTCCAAGCTCAGATGACACCAGAATTTCTCCCTACTATGGCCTAACCAATTTTATCCATTGGAGACACAGCTGGGCAATGAATAAAATGATAACTACAACATAGATATTACTAATTAACTGAAATATCAAGGTTAGCATTGGTATTTTGGATTATTCTGAAATAATAAAAGTACTTGATAAAAGTACTTTAATAATTATTCACTACTGTAAATAATATTTATGACCACCAAGATGAGCGAGAAAGGAGATGTTGGAGCACAAGTACTATGGGAGGAACATCTAAGTTCCACAAAATGAGTAAATATATAGATATGAATGTCAGCATGAACATATTTGAGCATTCTGGATTGTTCTTCCTTATGACTAATGGCAGTTACAGTCATACCAGTGATAAAACACACCAAAAACTAACAATCTATTTTTACCTCCCAACCTAAGCACAATTTAAGACAGTTAAAAACAGGTTTTAAAATTAAGTCTCTTCTCAAGGAGTGATCTTAAGTATCAACTTGAACAAACTTTTTAAATGTTTATATTAAAAACACTGAAAATATTATCAAAACAATGCCATCTTCCAGAAAAAACATGCAACACCTGTGGTACTTTAAAACTGCAAGACATTTTGAAATTCTGAACTACTTAAATCCACGTTCTCAAAAGCCACAAAAATCTAGAATAATTTCAAAGGAATGCTTCTAATTAAAATTTAACCTGAACTTTGGTATGAAATGCAATTAAACTACTTACCTTATAGGTTTTTTGAGGGGAAACCTGAAACAAAGATTAAAAAGGATGAATGTAGTTATTTCACTTTTAAGATTCTGTTGTTAAATTTATTCATTCTACTAAGCCAAGATGAAGGATTTAAGTCTTATGTTACCTTTCCCAAAGCAAGATTCAAGAAACAGGTGGAGTACTAAGTTAGATGAAGTTAGTTATTTTTTCCCCCAATAACTTAGCTACTTCCATAAATCTTAAATTGTAGCTTTATTTATCAGCTGTCCCTGAGTATGTTTTCTCATTTTAAAAACCCAGAAATACAACTTTCAAGTGTACTGAGGGTCTACTAGATGCTAAGCACTATTTTAAACTCTTTACCTGTATTATCTCACTTAATCTACAAAATTAAAACTATTAAGAGATATTATTTTGCCTTTATAGATTTTCTTTTAAATAATTGAGGCAATGGGGCTGGTACATGGCACAGCAGGTAAAGCAGCCACTGGCAGTGCTGGAATTCCATATGGGCACCAGTTCATGTCCCCGCTGCTCCTCCTCCTCTGATCCAACTCTCTGCTATGGCCTGGGAAAGCAGTGGAACATAGCCCAAGTCCTCAGGCCCCTGTACCCGCGTGGGAGTCCCGGAAGAAGCTCCTGGCTCCTGGCTTTGGATCGGCCCAGGACCAGCCATTGCGGCCATTTGGGGAGTAAACCAGTGGATGGAAGATCCCTCTCTCTGCCTCTGCCTCTGCCTCTGTGTAATTCTGCCTTCCAAATAAATAGTTTAAAAAAATTTAAAAAAAAGGTTAGGCCTAGGCCAGCAGTGCCACCATTCCACATACATGCAGGTTTGAGTCCCAGCTGCTCCAACTCCCTGCTAATGCACCTGGGAAAGCAGCAAGAGGATGGCCCAAGTACTTAGTCCCCTACACCCATGTGGGAAACTCAGAAGCAGCTCCTGGTTGTGGCCAATTGAGGAATAAACCAGACAAAGTTTCTCTCTCCTTCTATCTCTGCCTTTCAAATAAATAATCTTTATATAAGTAAATAATAAAAACTGAGGCAAAAGGAAATATTTTATCACTATATCATTATACTCAAGTTTCCCTGGCAAGGAAAGTTCCTTCTTGCCCATCATCTATCCCAACTTCACAAAATATCTCAGTGCTAATTACTGTACTTTTGTTCTCTACCTTTGATTAAAATCAAGTAATAATCTTCAAACATTTGTGTTAAGCTTTAATAAGAGAAATCTAGAAAAAAAAATTACCCTTGGGGTACTATCAATTACTAAAAATATGTTCCAAAAGTGGAAAAGAAAACGTACTTTTTGTTTTGTGCTGTTTCAGTGAGAGTTCTATAAACTGGAAGAACCACAGCATCTCCCCTCATCTTTCTTTCAAAGAAAAATTCCTGGAGGCTTCTTGGTTGGACTCTCATGCTGCACATAAACTCTAATCTAAAAGAGTGGTCACAAATACCCTCCCACTCTTCTTTTATTTCTGATCTGTTGAGATTATTTCAACCTGTGGCATTTTATGTAGAGTATTTAGTGAAGACAGTGAGATGAATGCTTTATTAAGGACAGCGGTAAACTCAAGGTTTTGTTTTTTTTTGTTTTGTTTTTTTTTTTGATGCTACTAGTACGGATAGTAAGAAATAAACATAAAACAATAATACTTGAGTGATTATTTTATTTGGCATTATGAGGTAGTTTCCCTTAAAAAAAATCTCTAAAATTCAAGTTTAATTACAACTCCCTTTTACTGCTGCTGTTTAAATCAAAACTGACCCACAGAGAAAGATAAAGAATCTAAAACCTTCCTAATAGGTGATGGCACATTAACTCACAACAAAGTTAGCGTAGTGATAAAAAGTAAAGAGGGTCTGGAACAAGAGGCCACTGCCCTAGAAAACACAGTGACTACGAAAGTCCACCACATCTTTAGAAACAAGAGTTCCTAAGAAGTTGATCCATACTTGAAGGGGTGGTAGTGAAAGGGAATGGGAATATGTTTACTTTAAATTCACAGGTGACTTAAAAAGTTGGCAGAAAAGAATTCCCAACTGAGGAAAGCAAAGGATAACACCTGTAGTTACCAACCTCAGCTACCTTGTTCATAGCCATTATAAAAACTCCCATTCCAGAACAATGCTGCCTGTGTCAAGGACCCGATATCCAGGGAGATTCTGGTCAAGAATCCAGGAAGTTTCCATTTCCTGAGCCATTTTCCCTTACAAGGGTCTGGAAAAGGAGGAAAAAGAAGAGAGCAAAAATGGAACAAGAAGATGAAGAACAAGAATCACTCCACAGTACAACTTGCTTATTATAATCAACTTACTACACTCATAAAGGACAGGTGAAGAAACTCTCAAATAAAAGTTCTTGAATCATTTATATTTTTCCTTTCATCACAGAACTGCACTTTAAAGTACTTGTTAAAACAAATACGTGTATGTTTGTACACATACACACACCCCTAAAGTAACATCAAGAACCTTCCTGTTTCATTCATTGGTTCACACTGTTTTAGCTAAGAAAACCAGCAAGGTAATCCCACAGCTTTGTAACATCCCTACTGTGTGCTGAATATTGAGACAGAGATGTAATCACAGAGCTGGAAACAGGAAACAAGAATTCCAAAGAAAAGCCTGGAGTTAAGAGTTGCAGATTTGAGTCATCAACCTATTGATGGTCACTGAAATTTAAAATAGCAAGTAAAGAGAAAATGCCACAGATCAAATCATGGGGAAAAACTAGCAACCGCATGACTGAGAATAGAGATGGGAGCCAATGAAGGAGATTAAGATGAGTTAGAAAACAGAAAGAGCTGTCCCAGGGACCAAGAAAGAGGAGATAATTGATATTGTAAAACGCTGCACAAAGGCAGCTGTGACAGCTAAAAGGCGGCCACATTCTAAGAAACAAATCAGTTGAATTTCAGATTGATGAAACAAATTCTGATGAATAAAATCTTATTTTCAAGGACCTGTCCTCTGTGCAAGTCTAATCATGAAATTATGACTATCTTCTAAGGTTGGACATTTATACAAAACAGTTGTATCTGAACACTGACAAAATGTTACTAAGGAAACTGTCTGGCTTTTTTAAACAATATATTGATGACTTGATCATTAAACCAACAATGAATAGATGTGTGCTGTGTGTGTGTGTATGTGTGTATTCTACTAGACATAAGACAAAGTCAAACTACCAATATGAAAAACCATGATAAAGGAAAGGGTTATCAGAAATCTGCGTCAGTGGGATGACAAGACTACATGCCTTACTTTTGGTTTCCTATACGAAGCACAGCTCTATTACAGAAAGCCTAACAAAACCCTTAAACGTTCAGAATACATTGATTCATTTGACTCAGAATGCCTTTTCCTTGTCAGTTCTAAGCTCTAATATTATAAAGGCTTAGGTTGTAATATATAGAGGTTTCCTCAATTTTTCTATTTCAATACCTCTCCCAATGCTACTACAATGTAGAGGGAAATGTGACTTGATAATTACAACCCTAATCCAATAAATAATGCACACTAGAACAAGACTTCCATTTCTGTCAGGTTTAACTACTCTGATATACACACATACCTAACTTGATAATTGGGACAAGATTATTAAACAGAATTTCTTCTGGATTTAAAAATGCAAATGCAAATGACCACCAAAGTTTTGTGTTGTTACATATTCGCTTATAATAAATAATCTACAAAAAATCATATTTTTCTTTTACCAATTTTTGTGAGAAAAGAGCTAGTCTTTTGACAAAAGTGTCCCTCAATCATATGAAGGATACAGGATATCACATTCAAATCTTAATTACTGGGGTGGGCCTTGGGCATAGTGGCTAAGACCCCACTGGGAACACTCGGATCCCATACCCAAGTGCCTGGTTCTAGTCCCAACCAGCTTCCAATTCCAGCTTCCTGCTAATGTACACCCTGGGAAGCAGTAGGTCATGACTTGAGTATTTGTCCCTGCCACCAATGTGGCAGACCTGATGGAGTTCCAGGATCCTGTTACATATATTTGAGGAATGAACTGGTAGATAGATAATCTTTCTCTCCCCCTCTCCCTATGTTCCTCTCTCCCTCCCTTTCTGCCTTTCAAATAAAAGGAAAATAAGTAAGTACACAAATGTTTTTTAAATCTTAATGACTACTCTTCTCTCCTCCCCCCACCCCCATTCCCAGGAATCAGATATTCCCCCACCCCCACCCCCACCCCCTGGGGTTTAGTTATGATGAGAAGTTTGGGACTCTAAATGGTACTTCTTAGGGATGACTGAAATGAAGGAGAAGAAGTTACAGAAACTTTAACTACAATGGATAGTGGTCAAGATTTTTATTAGCAAACAATATAAGCTGCTAAATTGATTATTGCCAAGAATTCCACTGGAAGGTGTATCTTGATTTTAGCAATGTTAAAATCTGGAGGTGGAGAGCAGGGGGGATTCCATGTTAGAAGTACTAAAATAGAGTATCATTTTATTGTAATCCTCTCCATTGAGGAGTTACTAAACAAAGAACTCCTCAAGAAATAACGGTTGAAATCACTCTATTGCACCATAAAATGATGATAGACATCAGAAATGAGTAGGCTATGATGGAGGCAGCATTACTGATTACTATAATCAATAAAAATTCCAAGTAATTTCAAGGCCTTGGAGGAAGGGAACTCCTCAGGAAAAAACATAACTGAGTTCCTAACTCTAGTTCCACAATTTAATATGTCCTTGAACTTGGGCAAGTTACTTCACTTCTTGAAGCACTGTCATCTATAAAACAGAGGTAACACTAGTAACTACTTTATAACTCTGTTTTGAGGATTAAATTAGAAAAGAAAAGCATTCCCTACCAAACACTTAACTATTGTTAGGTATTAAGAAAAAACAAAAATAAAGTCTGAATATTAATGACATGAATTTTAATTAAACAGAAAAACTAAATGTAAAGACCAACAATACTCATGGGATGGGTCTTCAGTGTAGTGTGTAAGACACCCACATCCCACACTGGGTTTCACTCTTGGCTCTGCTTTG